AACGTGAGCCTTGCTTTCCAGTTATTTTGGAAGGACCGTAGTCAATGCAGACAGCTTCTTCCCCTGGTGGCCCTTCCATCTGCAGAGACAATCGGTATCAGGTAGAAAACTCACTCCTAGGAAAAAAGTGCACCTGGAATGAACAGGTACAACCTTTTAAAAAAACTGTCATTATTTCCTAAAAAAAATGTCACAAGTGTGAGGTATGATTAGACATACAGCGAATATTCCAATTTTAAATAATTTATGGTAGTGAAAGAAACTGCACATTCACCCCTCACAAAATGCTTCCCCTTGCTCAGTGCATTTAATCCAGTGTTCTTGTCACTTTCTGAAGCACTTCTCGGAAGTCCTCTTTGGGAGTGTCTTTCCTTGCCCTGTTGTGGCTGCCTTGACGCTCGGAATCCATTGAAAACGTTTATCCTTCATGGTCCTGTTGAGGCTGAGATCCAGGAATAAGGTGGATGAAGGCACACTGCCATCTTTTCTTTAGACAGAAATTGCTACAAATGTTTTGAATCAATTTAGGGGGTCCCAGGCAGGCAGTCACATCAGTTCCAGGCCCCGGAACGACATCTTTACCCTGTTGTGTCTGGGGAGGACTAGGCAGGGAAAGCTACGGTTCAATCTCAAGGGCTCTGGGCCCGTTCACATTTTAAATTGCCATTTAATTCACAGCATCACAGTCGAACAGACCGAGGCTGCTTGCGGTTAGAGAAAATGGGAAAGAGAACGAACAGGACAAACAACATCAATTTACTTGTCCGCGATCAACTAACATCACCAGAAGTTCTTTTGCCCCTTCCATTTCGCACTTTGTGAGGGAACCTTTGCACCGTAAGACATAAGCCCTTTTCTCTGGGAACCTCAGTACTTTACCAGAATAATCTTGGCGTTACAGCTAAGGCTTACCAATTTAAAGTTCATTAAAGTGATAAAACCAAGAAACCAACTCAGACCAGACCCACAGTCACATGCTGGCGTTGGACACGCTCATGTGAGATCAGAGCAGAGGGCACCAGAGCTGCATTCATTCGTAACCTCTGCAACCTGGCCTGTAACCTGCCTTCTCCTCCCACCCTCCGGCTCACCCTCCTGTGACACAGGACAGGCGGGTGACTCTCGCGCTCGCTCCTCCCCATGCTGCAGTACGACGCTATGCATTGTCACCTGAGCGCGCTTTTCCTGCCTCCCCAGTTTAAATCCCTCCCTAGCCCACACTCAGCCCAGAAAGCACAGCAAAGAGGGAGCTCCTTGACCCCCCACACCATCCACCAGCTCGACTCCACCCGGCCAGACTCAGCGCACCACGTGACCCACACCCGGACACTGGGGCGGGGCAAGCGAGAGGAAAAAACCAGAGACTGCAAACATGTTCCTATAGAAAGGCGATGATTAGCAAGGGTGTAGCAGCAAACACACGGCTTTTGATGCTATTTTAAAAGAGCAAAAGAAAATCTTCCAACATTTGAAACTACTGAATGAGGCCCTTCCCGGAATTTTAAAGCACACCTGGTACTCCCGCAGCACATGCAACCCGCATCGTTCTGATTTACGTATGTCAACTTTAGGCCGAGGAATCTGGAATAACTGAGTGACTGAAACAGCGAAGACAACAGTTTGTAAATCACCTTGGTTTTATCTGTCACTTACCCTCAGCAGCCTTCTGAGACGAGGACTTCAAAGGGGGTCCAGTGGCCACTGAAACACCTGCGCCCGTCCTGCAGGCCCATTCTGTCACTCACTTGGGGTGGAGGAGGTGAGAGCCAATCCATTCTCACATCGCCGGCCCTGCTTTCCACCCACCTCTGCCACTCCGCTCCCTCTTCCCCTAAGGTGTCACTGCTAGGAAGGCGGAGTATGGGAAACATTTGTTCTCCTAAGGGTGAGACCCGTCCTCGACACAGCCCGGTAGTGACGGGAGGGCAGAAACTTAGAGCTCAGAGTGGGCTCCATACTGACCTGCAGTATAAACCGGCACACATGCTAGTTTTTGTAGGGGGCTGTGTGCTCTCCTCCTAGGCCACAGGATTTCTACGGGACAGTGTTCTGAATTTCCAATCTAACTAACTGTCCATAGATGGGAAACTTCCTAGACATCAATTTTCTTGATGACAGCAGTTAAAAACGTGGTATGTGATGATCTTACACAAAAACAGGAAGCCCATAAAGGGGAAAAGGTCCAAACCTTGGGACTAAAAATGTCCAAGAATTCATCCATATCAGCCTGAAGGGTACATGCATACTTGAGGCACCCTTATGAGGCATTCTTTTTTTTTTTTTGCCATCTGGGACAGCCCAGGGGACTGATTCACATCAAAAAAAGTTTAAGGCTTCAGGATTGGACTGAAATATTGAACTGCCCTATATAAAGATACACAATTCATGCTCAAAGAGCCTTTTTTTTTGTTAGCACAAGCAAAGCTTGTTGCGTCTCAGAACTGTTCAAAGGCCCAGGTCAAGGCTGGTATCCTTTGTTACTATTTTCGAAGCTAGACAAACTGTTCACCTAGAGAGGATTAAAATGGCAGATTTGTGTAGGGTGAAAATTCCTCAAACCGGTACGACAACCCCAAGCCAATGAGAGTCCACATTAAATCAAACATCCAGATGAAGGTAACAACTGAAGCATTCTCTGCACCTTTCCCGAATATATCAAGGACATCTTGTGATCATGGAATTAAACCGTTTTAGTTTGATTAACTCCCTCCCCCACTTGAGCTTAGTAGTTTGGTGTCACATAAACAAGTAGGCAGATGGCCCAAGGCATCACTTTCAGTTTGACGGTAGAAAAATGCTCTTGATACTCTCATGAAAGCAAGCAATCACCTCAGTACTAATTTTACTGGAAAAAATGTTGCACTACTGAGAGAAAGGCTGGAAATTCTCATGAAAATCAGGATATTAATGGTGCTGTTCAATGAGAACCTTGCTAGAGCAGGCACAGGGTCTTAGGAGTCGATGCTCGCTTTCCTTTGCTTTTGATTGAATTTTTATTTATTGTTTCTACATTTTCAGCTCTTTTACAATGGCAGTAGGGAAACACTGCATGATAAATACCCTCCTGGCAGGTCTATTTTATGTCTTTGAGCAGAAAAAGGGATGATGTCAGTAGGCAGGGAGGAGGAGGCATCCAAGGAACCGGCATCAAACCCCTATTATTTGTGAGACACTGTGCATACTGCTCTTTTATTTCAATCCTGGTGAACGCTGGTGAGGCACAAATCTTTGTCTCTGTTTTATGGATAAGGGAATTGGAATTCAGAAAAGTTCCGGAACTTGTCTAAAAGCAGGCAGTGAGGGAGGAGACAGCTGACCTAGGATGTGAACATGAGCCTGCCTGTCCTTTCTATACCAATCCCACTCCCACAGAGAAAAGTGTTGCTTGCAAACCAAAGTGGATGTGGGTAGAATGAAATCTGACTGGTTAAAGACACAGCTGAATTTCATAAGGATGGCAGGTTGATGTTTAAAGCGTCAGAAATCAAGCACTGCACCTCCTTGTCAACCCTGAATGGAATGACTCTGACCAACACTTTCGTCCTGTGCACTCACAGTGCCCTCACTGTGACCACAAACTGTTTTTATATTATTCTCCTCATGCCCCTCGAAATAGAAGGGATTTTTTTTATAGGCCCATGAGCATTTTTGCCTATTTTCAATCTTCAGAAACCTGAAAGGGCACTGTACATATGCTTTTCATTTGTACCTGTGGCAGGGTACAAAAGTCTGAGCATGAGCGTGGCCGGCAGCCCCGAGGGTGGTGTAAATTTGGAACTTGGTAGGCCTTGGCCGCAGTGTCTGTCAGCACTGGAAGGCACTGCTTCAAACCTGTCTTCTACCCTTGACCCTGAACCAGGGCTGTCCACGCAGCAATCTCTAAAACTGTGAGTTTTTTCTCATTGAGTTTATTGGTACATTTTAGGTATACAGCCTAAGGCTGAGTTCTACCTATTTTCTAAATCTGTATACTTACATCAGTGAGCAGGGCAGAATAATAAGACAGAAGTGGCATTTTCACATTCTTCTGCTTCCAAACTATTTCTGGCTCACAGTCAATACCTGTTCTGCCTGCTTCAAATGCACACTGCCCAGTGCTTTATTCATTGTTGTAAGGGTACACACTTATTAAAGGAACTTGTGCTGGTTTTATAAATGGCTTTCCTTTTCCAAGTCTATGAATTAGTTTTGAGGCTTCGTGACAAGTTATGAATATAAGAGGAGTAATATCATAAGGAAGTAATTACGAGGCTAACTTCTGATTGAGCATCTGGGCCCAGCATTGGAACTTGCAAGGATTTTTCTGCCAATGTGAGTCCTGTCCTATGCAGAAAACTAAATAGTGTACAGGCAAACAAACCTCATACTTAGAATGCTCTAGAGAAGCCGACAGATGCAGGGCAGGAGCAAGGAGGCCGGAAGGTCTTTATTGTATTTTGGTAGCAGAAGAAAGAAGGAATTTCTCAACTCTGAGAAGTGACACTGGTAGTTGAGAAATGGCAGTTGGGATGGGCTGGAGTTCTAAATGGAACGGAAGAGCGAAAATGTGACAAGTCCAAGAAAAGCTGAGCCTGCCTCGATACTCCCACTTGTGTTAGGGGTTGAACTGTGACCCCCCCAATATCCTTACGTTGTATCTGAAGACAGGGCCTTTAAGAGATGACGGAGCTAAAAAGACGCGATCAGCCTGGGCCCCAATCCAATCCAACTGGTACCCTTCTAAGGAAATTTGGGCACAGATACCCACACACAGGAGAAGAGCCATGTGGGGACCCGCTGAGACTTTGGACTTCAGAAATGTGAGAAAAATTTTCAGGTGCTTTAGGAAGCCCCGCCCCCCTGCTCTGTGGTATTTTGCAGCTTGAGCAAACTAATACGCTTGGTACATCTTACTACTTGGAAAACAAGCCGAGCTAAGTGTCGTCACAAGCTGGGCCATCCGTAAAACCCAGGGACGTTTTGGGAAGTATTTCACCTGCCCAGAGAGGGTGGGGACTCACCACATCGAAGGCAGTAAACACGTGACAGTAGTGGTGATTGGACTTCAGATCCTTTGTGATGTAAGCAAATGTAGAGAGGTCCTCCGGGTCCTGGGCAGCACAGGAGATATTGCGAATTTCATGCTCAGCAATTATGTTCTAGGAGAAATGACATAAGCGACCGTTGTTTTCCTTTGCAAACCAGCATATTTTGGGACAAAGACAGGTAACCAGGAAGCAGTTGCTGTCTTTCTTTCCAGAGTGTTCATAACCAGCCACATTCGAAGGGATCTGATGCACAACCCGTGGGCAAATGTACACCAGGTCTGGAGAGAACGTTTTCATTTAATGAAAAATAACCTAAAATAGTCACACACTGGAGCCGTGGTTCTCAGCTGGCGCGGTGCACGGAAGCAGCCTGAGTGGCAGACACTCTAAAAACACAGTAATTACTGGGCATTTTGCTGTTTTCATTCCCCAAGTCTGCCTGGAGATACACAGCAGCCCTGCCTCCTGCTAATTCACTGCAAGCGTCACCTGTCCCTCTCTGTAGGGGATGAGCTGCGACTCAATCCCCACTGTTGTGCTTGTTCAGTTTGAAATATTTTGTCAGAGCCAGAGATCGAACCCAGGACCTTGTGCCTGCCGAGCAAGGGTGCTACCGCTCCAGACACCGCCCTCTGTTCTAATCCCCAGAGCAAAGGCAGGTGCAGGACAGAGCAGGCAGCTGGACGCCTCAGCTGTGCTCGCTCAGCAAGGCTCTGGGCAGGGGAACTGAGGCAGGAAGAGGGAAAGGCCACGCTGCCATATTCACGTCATGGCCGCTTGCTGGGTACAGCGTCCTGCGGATGACAACCCTCTCCTCCCTCTAGAGGCAGTGCACAGGCGCGGGGAGGGTGTGGCTGTTACTGCCACCATCTTACAGGACGGGAAATGCCTCCCAGTGTCTCCTGCCTAAAGCAGGAGCTCACCTGGTGCTCAGGCTGATGCAGGTGCACTGCAGCGCCCTTCACCCCTCCCCTCCCGTCCTGGTTTAACAGGACCATGTTTTTTCCTCTCTTGCATTTCTCTGTGCCTTCATCCCCCTACCCATCCCAGCCCACTGTGGAGAGCAACTGGTGCGAGAAAGGTTTAGCACCACTGTCGTGAAGCACAGAATATCCACGGAGCACGATCTGGGCCACAAAACCTGCTGGCAACTTCTTTTGACACACAGATGTGTTTAACAAGCAAATGGTGTCTCCCAATAGTACAATCATTTTCTATCTTATAATATCTCACATTTTTTGCAGTTGTCATAGACCTACAGCCCTCAATGCTTTATTTACCCCAATTACTTCTTTACTGAACAGCCTTAAAGAACCTGTTGGCAAAATAGTGTTCTGTGTCCACTCATCAATGTCTAAAAAAAGCTTTACAAAATGTCCTTCCCCACCAGCACCCCCAGCAAGTACTTCATGTCCCTAACACTAAGCTACTGAGTTGTGAGGCTGGGAAGCAATTACAGAATTAACACATGAAAGAAAATGAAATTAAGACGCTCTTCACCGTGTCCTTGTATGCCGACAGCACAGGCAGCCTCTCTTGTCAAAAATTACCCACGCTGGGATCGGGATCCCATAAACAAGAACATCCCACTGAAAGGTGGGCTTTCAGAGAGCATTTCTTCAGGCAGAAAGCTGAATTAGGAACGACTGGGTCTTGAAAGGACTGAGGACTGTGGTGGTCTCTGAGGTGCGATGTTTGCAGGTGCGGAGAGTCTCCCCATCACTGGATCAGGGCTGCTGCCAAGCCGGGGTGGACCCATGTCTCAGGAAGAGAACAGCATCTCCATTGTCTAACCAAGTTGGCATTTTGTGTCCTTGGGATCTTTCGCCGGCATGAGCCTGATCAACTTCTTGGGGAAGTGTTACAGTGACAAGGGTCCGGTACTTTTATTTTTAATTTTTTTCAATCGAGGGACTGAACACTGACACTGTCCCCCCTCCACTGATGTTTAGACAGTGTCTCTCCGTGTTGCCCAGGCTGGCCTTGAACTTGTCACTCTTGCCTCAGCCTCCCGGGATGCTGGGAGAATGAGGTGCCACCACTCCCGGCTGCAGTGAATTCCTTGGGTCTCGACAATTTACTGGGGCCACTCTCAGCGATTTTCAGTGTTGACAAGTGGAACTTTGGAGCTCTCTTTCTGTGTCTTTCCCGATTTCCTGACAACATTTTGAAGTCCCCTCCCCTTTCTCCCCAAGGGCCCAGGGCTGGTTTTTAAGGATCCACTGACATCTGCCACCTGCGCTGCCGTCAGCCTTCTCCTCCACTTTTATCTGCAGCTTTGATTCCTAAGCCAGAAGGAAAGCAGGCTGGTGAAGTATTCTGCACTCAGCAATCCATTCAGATGCTGCAGTGCATCCTGGGTGCAGAAGGTGGCCAGAGCCAGGACCACACTGTGCCAAGCTGCCCCCTGTCAGGTGCCACCTGTGGGGAGAGGGCCGGACGGCTCCCAAGGGGAGGACGGACCCTGGGCCAGGGATGGTGCAGGCTGCGCCTCAGTTCAAAGCTGGACTCCTCCTTTCCCGGCCAGAGCTTCACAAAGGCTCCAGAGTAGGCCAGCTTGGTGCCTTCCCACAGGGAGATCTTCTATTCAACTTACCTTTCCTCATGCAGTGGAAAACTTGCTGGCTGGTGGCTGAGGAGAACTGGCCGGTCCAGTCCATCGCCATGGTGGAGGCGACCGCACACAATGCAGCCTGGAAATCTGCCTCTGGCCACTCCTGCGGTCAGGACTCACTCAGCCTAGTTCCTCTGGGGAGGGTACCAGGGTGGAGGCTGCTCTCCTGGCCCTGGGCTCCCTGGAGTCACCCTGTAGGGGACCTGATGCTGGCTGCTAATTGACTCCAAGGGTCTTACAAGAAGTACACATTATAAAAAACAACGGGCGCTTGTTGAGGCCAATTCTGAGTTATTTTGTGTCTAAACAATAGCGTCCATCCTGTTTGAAGTTGGCATTAAGAAAGAAAAATCAGCAAAGCAAAAAACAAGTGCTGGCCCTGGCCTGTCCCTAATTGAGCCAGATGGGAGATGGAGGGGTGGGGGCTGGCACCGCCCAGCAAATGTGGCCCCATCTGCAGTGTCACTGTGGGTGGGAACTGGGCCACCTCTGCGAAGATCCAGTGGAAGGGAAAAGGGTCTGGAACCGAACAGTCCAATAGTCACAGTCCCCGGGCCAGTTCTCTGTTGGAGCTGCCTCTGGGCTGTGAATCTACAGAAGGCTGTTGTGATGCCTCTAAAAGATTTTAGAACTAAATCTATTCCAAGTTCCATTTTTAAATCAAGATTCCTTTCTGCTTCTTCCTTCTTAAATCAGGATTAGGGATTCGATTTGTTTCCAAAGTTGCTAGGCAATACACTTACACGTTTATAACCAGGCACCTAACCCTTCCCCATGAACTGAGCCAAAGCTATTTATCAGGAAAAAAAAAAAAAAAAAAAAA